AAACCCATTAACAAAGATATTGGTGATTAAAATACATAAATAAATCCTAGAACCAGGAAAAACACGAAAGACAATTTCAATACAAAAAGAATAATCATGTTAACATAGTAGTTTACTGTTTCACATGATATGGGACACTGGCTTAGCAGCATCTGATGCCTTGAAGATTACCTTTACCTCTTCACTGAAGCTGTGGTTGGCATTGGGGGCATACTCAGCCTTTGGGCCACCTGTATGTTCAGATTTGCTGGCCTCTCAGCTGTTGATGCCACGATGTCCAATGTGGTTTTGGATGATTTGTGGTTGACAGGGCTGTTTGGTCTCCCATGTCAGAGAAGTCAGCTAGTAACTCATCTTCACTCATGGGTTCTGTCATGTCAAACATAGGACCAGCACTGGGAGTCTTGAGGTCATACACATAAGCCAGATCTTTACCAAAGAGAAAGTCCTTTGTGTATTGGCTTTCCTCACACAGGCCTTCTATCATGCAGTCATTGAAAAGGGAGACAAGATTTGCTGGAACTTAATAAACACCACTGGTTATTTAAAGAACAAAATAGCCAGAATGGTCAATAATTTGATCTTACAGTTCAGTTTGAAAATGCAAGGTTAGATAAATTATGGTTGGTCAGAAGGTCAGCAAGATCTGTATGTTGTAAAAAGGATCATAAATGACCAGTTACAACCACACCCTTCTCTAAACCTATTTTTAAAAATGTCATCTTAGTCAAGTGACATTTCTACAGACTTCACCTGTACTCACACCCACTATCACCCATATGAAATATATCCCTAACATCTGTGATCTTCATTGAGTCCACATCTGACCAATACCTATAGCTGTTTTGCCCTCTGTTGCCTTTTGTTTTACAATGCCAAACATAGCTTATCTTCAACTCGGGTACATTCCTTCCACTACTATATGGTTATATAATCGGAGCCCAGATCCAGTAGGAAAGAAATTGGGTCAATACTGCAAAACTGGTTCCTACACACATCAGTTGACTAGTGTTAGCAAATGCTGTCCTATACTTCTGACCATTAAAATCCACTAACGTTTACATCATTTCTCACATATGACTTTTTTTTTCCAGGTACAAGTTTAGTACTAGCTGGGTATGCCTTACAAAGTTCCCCCTTACCAGTGCTACTTTCCTTCTCCTGCAGTATACTCACAGCCTACATTTTTGTGGACCTGAACGGCACTTGGTACTAAAACAATGTTAAGGAAATATTTTACAAAATGTGTGTAAAATATTACAAGCTACTTGAAAACCAAATAAAACACTGCATACACCAAGTTTATATTTGATATTATGTTTAAACCACTTTGTGAATTTTGTTCACTGCTGATAATTTTGTGCATTTGTGAATATTTTAAATTGATTCAGTTGAAATATCTTCCCCTAATTCTGCCAAAAATAAAGGTAAAACTATTTTATCTTCAACATAGTGAGTTTCTTAGTTACTCTGTTTTCAAAAACTGTCTCACTGGTTGGTAATCATAGTTGACTTATCACAAGGTCTTAATATTCAGATCAAATATTTTGTTTCCATACACAAACTGTTTAATAGTTGTGTTCTTTCTGTAACTGATCTACAATACTCATGAATAATTATTTATTACTTGTATATCTATGTAAGATTATATGCATATACTTAAATCACCATTACATTTGTTCAAACACACTAATAGCTTAAAACTAACTGTCTTAGGCTCTCATACAAATTACTTAGATAATCTTCTTGGATATTTTCCAGTGCTAAGTTTGGTAGCTGTAGCCTCGTATTGTGCTCCCACTTATGAGCTATCAAACTAAATGTTTTTCTCTACAGACATCATGAATATATTGTCACTGACAGAATTCCGGCAAACTAAGACTTTTCAGTAAGGATTAATATTCATGCTGTTACTACAATATACATATTAATATACACTCAGAGGAACAACTCCCTCACTTTACATAAAGAAGTTATATACACTTCTGGTTTAAAGAGGTGAATCTAGTAAGGACCACTCAGCCATGTTAGTGAGTGATTCTCATGAAACGTTACACAAAATTTAGCCCTGAAAAATCAGTCAGTAGCTCGGAAAGCATGGATCACAAAGCACTTTCAGGTGTATTTTTGAACTTCTAGCCATTATCTTCTGTTGTACAAACTTTTAACTGTCTAAGTTGTCATCTACTAACACCAGCTGCCATAATTGTTAATTGATCAGCTATTATCGGATATCCTACATTTTGCAGTGATAATCACTTATTAACTTGAAAATCAGAAATCACCATTTTCTTTCAGTCATTGAATTTTCTGTCAAATGAATGTTCTAGCTTGTGATAACTGGTTTATCTCAGCCACACCAATCAGGAGTCTGGCAGTGGTGGTTTGACTGACTATCAGAGCTGTCTCTCACCTTGAGATCCAGGGCTTCCTCATCTGACTCATTAAGAACAGTCAAATAAATATTTTCATATCTTTCCTTGTATCCCCTGGACTGTAGTGGGTAAAACAGTGTTATTGCCCTCTTATAACTTGTCAGTCTCTTGTAATTCCTGGTCAAGCCAGTTTTCTAGTGGTTCTTAGGTAACATACAGATGCAGCTGGTTGATGTGTACTATGCTCTTTTGGATAGCTCTTGACTGCTGTAACTTGCATATTAATGAACCAACTTATTGGACCACAAGTTGAGGTCCTTACCCAGTCATCACTGTGGCACATACATTCCTTCACTGTCTTATCATGGTATCTTTTCCTGTATATGGCATGTATAGCAGCTTTTTCGTAGCTGTTGACTTTCAAACTTGTGCATGACAACTAACACAAACTTTAATCACTACACATATTCTTGTGAATATCATGGGACATCCGCACTAGGAAGAAGATTGTACATCATGTCTACCATGAGCAACCTGTTTTCTTTTAAGTTGCAAGGTACAATATCATGACATATGGTGTTTCTCCCATATGCTTTGGTCGGTATTAAAAAACTTAAGCATATGCTTGACAGTCTTTATTACTCATTCTACTAAACTATCAGGTGGGTTAATAAAGCAAAGTGCACAACTTTGCCCCACTGAAGACTTTATGCTGCACCAAGCTCAGTTGTTGATGACAATGAGGCAGAACACATTCCTGCCCTCATAATTGCTCATGCAAGTGGTGTAGGTTAAGTGCTTTTGAGTTATGTTTCTCAGTCTGAGCTGGTAGGGCTTTACCTTGCTTCATGGCATGGAGCAACCACACTAGCTCTGAGTCCTTCAGTTGATCTTCCCACAGCTCCCAAAATGTTAATTGTTGCATCCATCCATTAGTAAAATCTTCTGTATAGCTTGTTATTATGACAGAAATGGTTTCAACTCCATAAGGTGTTCAGGGTTTGCACATTCAACAAGCAGACAGTGTCTCATTTTGTGGCAAGACAATCTTTCAGCATTTCTGTGTTACATGGCTCAATTGATACTGTATGACTGAATCATACTCCTGCAATGCTGTTATCCAAAGTGCTCTCATTCCTTTCAGATTTTTTAAAGTTCAGCAATGCATAGTCCACCTGAATAGTGAACTTTCTAGTGTTGACAGCATTTTACAAAGACTACAGGTTCAAGCAGCTTTTTTCATCATATCTGCCATCAGAAGTCATGAGTTTACAACTACTGTACTTACTTTTAGCATACCTTTGACCATCAGGAATGGAATCTGCTTGGTTTCACTCATGGCAGCAGAGTGAAGAATTGCTCATAGCAACTCATCCTGACACTTTTTTTTTACCCCAGTATTTTTTGCTCTCCACAGTTGCCATGGTAGGATACCTCCTGGCTCAAAGAGGATCTCTTGTGCCTCATGGTTCATAGTCTTTGTTGGCTGGTCACCATTGTCTCACCTGCCAGGGAAAGAGCTCTGAATGGTGGATTTCATCCATTAATGATACATTCAGTCCTCCTTGCGAGACCTTTACCAGAGCTAAAGTTGAGTTACTCTAGCTGGTGACAATCTGGGAAGTCAGTAGAGACAGTCTCATCCAGTCTTTGGCTTAAGAGATACCATTCCATCTCTGACCCTCAATCATCTGTGCTTCCATTCTGCCAGGATTGATCCTCAGGGAGCAATATCCAATCTTTCACTCTGGGTGCACCAACATTGGATGATCTTCCTGAATACAATCTAAACTTCCATTAATATATATATTTCTTTCTGTAACAAATTACATAGTTTTAACTTTTCAAAACATTTCTGCAACATCAGATAATTCTGAAATAACTTAGCTAAAGCTTGTTATTTAGTAATATTGTGTATGTACAGTATTAACCTAGTGTGCATGGGATCAGTCCATCGGCCCAATCCCATATTGGAGAAAGAATGTAGAGTTTAATTCTGAATTTATTATGTGCATCTATGAGAAATGTGGCAAGTTTTGAGTAAAATGTACAAGTCTTTTGTACACAAAAAATCAGATGTGTTACAAAAGTTTTTTGTACTTGAGATATGTCTGTGAATTTATGATGTTGGTCTGATCCAAATCTGACAAGTTGTAGTGCATGATGATATTATTGTGTAAAATAAAAGTACTTTTGTCTATTGTACAGTTTGTATAATGTATTTGCAAAGCCTCTAGAATATCTGAAATGTGTATCTACATTTCTTTCAGTATCCCTTTGTATAGTATGTGGTATTTACTTTCCTCTGCCATGAACTTTTACTAAATCATCAATGTAGGCTAACATATACAGTTGATATTTCTAACATCAAATGCATAATACCATGTTGAATAGCACTCTGTAAAAGGTCATGGCATGTGCACTTTGACCCTCCTCACAAGCACATAGAGTTAACGTAATTATGTGTTCATGTGTAAGCATTTTTACTTTTTAAAGTGTCTGACTTGTGATAACCAAACTTTCAACAGAAATCACTTGTAGATTCAAAAAAATAATTATTGGTTATACTTTTTTGAAAATCATTAATACTAATTAAATATAGTTTCTTCATTTTTGTCATAATAGGAAGTCTCGAAACTTGAGTGAAAAGAAGAGACGTGACCAGTTCAACATGCTTATCAATGAGCTTTGTTCCATGGTGTCGACCAGCAACAGAAAAATGGACAAATCCTCTGTTTTAAGGTCAACCATAGCCTTTCTCAGGAGCCATAGTGGTGAGTGTTTTTTTTTGTTTTTTTTTCTTTCTAAAGCACGAGTCTCCAAACTTTTTTGGACAAAGGCAGGGAGGTTGATTTTTTTAAGCTTCACGGGCCGGAGGGGTCGTGGTAAAATTAAGTAGGGATGCATACATGATCAGATTGGCTTTTGCTCGATTACGTTTTATTTTTGTTTTTATAATATTAAAAAATTATATTATTACTTTAATAAACTGTTGGCAAGCCGGATAAACTGAAGTCACGGGCTGGATACAGCCCGCAGGCTGTAGTTTGGAGACCCCTGTTCTAAAGCATCAACAGATACATAATGGTGAGAGTCTGAGTATTATATATATATGGTCAAGTCAGTAGTTAATATCAAAATACATTACTCACAGGGATACTCTGTATCAAGTTTAACAACTGATCATAATACTTAAAAACATAATAAAGCTGGTCAAGCACCATCAAAGAGTGCTTTCTACTTCATCATGAATGAAACAACAGATATTTAATAGTGCTCTTTTTTACTTATATCCTAACAAAATATAATACAAGTTTAGTTTAACTGTGTACCAAACCATTTAGTAGTGTATTTAGGTACAAAAGACACAAAACAATAAATAACTTAGGCTCAAGTCATACTGAATTTTTATGTGAGGTTATATGGTTTAAAAGTTATGTATCAACTGCTATCATGCCTATTTTTGCATGTTACTGCAATTCTGTTAAAAGTATGAGTGTGTTATTAAAGTTTAACAATGATGAATATACTTGTAGGAGGTTTTAATCTTAAGTCATGGTACAAAGAAAGATAACTCAGTTGTAACAATAACATAACTTTTTAAAGACAGTTTAGCTTTCAAGATGTTTTCACATGTAAGCTGTTTGATTATAAATATATTTTGTTTTTTCAGTATAAAACATCTTACAGTCATCACTTTAGAGTTGGCTTGTAGTACCCAAGTTTTGTAGTTGCAATCTTTTTTTAGAACAATCAAACAGATGCAGTAAGGAATACTACATCTATGGAATCTTTCATTTCAGCACTTGAAATTATTACTTTTGTTGTGACATTTCTCCGTAACTCTTTGGGGTTGGTCAATGTGACTGACCTTGTAACGACAAAGTAATTACCAGAGTTTTCATACTATAACTTGTAATATTTGTTGTGTATGTACTTTATGAAATTTGGCAAGCTTTCAGTAAACTTTACAAGTCTTTGTACACAAAAAATCAAATTTTAATTAAGTATTTTTACTAGAGATTTGTCTGTGAGTATATGGAATAAGAGTGTTGACTGTTCCGAGTGCAATGTGACTTTCATGTTAAGATTAAAAATACTTTTCTTCATCTGAATATTTCCAAATTTCATTTGCACAGCCTCTAAAATCTCATAAATAAATATCACACACTTTTGTCTCAGTATTTTCTGTTATTTCCTTTACCCCAATTCTATAAAGACTTAGTTGATTTGACCAACCTTATAACCATCACAAAAATATATCTAAATTACTCTTTTTTTTTCTTTCTAGATTTTGCAAGAAAAATATTATTACTTACCCTAAATAGCTTAAGACTCAAAGAATTCTACATCTGTTTATACTTAGTTTTATTATTTTATTGTCCTTTAAACCATGTTTAACTAATAATTCTTCTACACAATTTATAAATCACTTGGTGAATGTGTAGCTCATGTTACCATATTGTATGATGTAATGCACGAGCTGCTGCGAACACATCTGATGATTTTTTTTCCTTATTTTACCTAAACTAACCTTATAAGTTTCTAATTTTTACATTTGACTTATTTTTATAGCAATAAAAAAATATATACAGGAAAACAAGAAATACAATATGTTTGATCCCTTGTTTTGATTTTTGCTTCGGTTGCTGATGAAATTTAAGCCTACTTTTCTATAATGATGATACTTATACACTCAGTAATTTTTATTTACTTAAATAGTGCACCTACAAACACAAATATAACACACACAAAGTAAACAATGTCCTACAACTTTCATAATTTAACTGACTTTATAACTAAGGCAAGAGAGGTTTAAATTAATTCTCTTTGCTTCTTGATCTGAACATCATGAGGTAAACTTTCAAACTGAAGATGAAATTGGCAATATAATATGCTCTACTGAAAATGAGGTAGCATTATATGTCATTCAATGGATGAAAAAATTTGTCTTTCTGTTATGAATGATTTAGTATAAAACATCAAATGGAATTATTGGCAATTTGTGAAAGAAAGGATGTGGCAAGTGGGTCTGAATTTCTAGTTTATGACACTGTGAACAAATGAGATTGAAGGCTATAAAATTTTGATTTTACTTCAGTAATATCTATATTATAATAAGTAATTTATGTTAAATTCTGTACTTCAGAGAGGGGTCATAAATGAATTTGAGAAGGGGGAAGACCTAGAGAACAAATGTCAGGATTCTCATACTAGATAGATTGAGGATTCTTTTAAATATTTCATCATATAATTATGAACCTAAAACTTATATTAGTTGGATTTCTTGAATAAGTTGTGATGGCAAGTTTAGATGTTTAGATTGATAATAAAGTAGTTTAATTAAGTTTTGAATGTAGCTCTGTAAAAGGTCATGACATGTGCATTTTGACCTACCCATTACAAGAGGATTAAGTAAAACCTTAATTTTAATTGTCAATATATTTGCTTGTATAGATATTCACAAATTAATTTTTCTGCTTAGAACTGTGAACTGTTAAATCAACCACTTGAAGTTATCAAATGGGTTTAACATTAGAGTACTTCTTTCTGTGATTCCAGAGTATCATCAGAACTGCTGAATTATTTCCTCTGTTGTAATTGTCTGATAAAATATTCAGTCATCCTACCAATAATGTATTTTTTATTTTAAATTTTTCAAATTTTGCTATGGATGCTTTTGCTACAGTTAGGGTAGAGAAACCAAGAAATAATATATAAAATTTTGACTTGAAAATAACTTTTGGTATTCATATAGGAGGTTCTAGAGGTTATGCATATGAAATATATAAACTATAAGATAAAAAGTGATTTATTCTTAATATGAAAATCACATTGCACTCAGGCTTGTCAGTGTTTGAGCCAGACTGACTCAGTAAATTCACAGACGATTCTTTAATAAAAATACTTTATTAAAAATTATGATTTTTTGTGCACAACATACTTGTAATACTTAATAAAAGCTTGTGAAGATACACTTAGTGAATTCAAAATTAGAGTAAACATTACTATGTATATCTGCATAGAAACTGTTGGTGTAAAACACTAATGCCATTCACATAAGATTAAAATTATTTCAGAGCTTCACTATGTCATTCATGCTCCATCTGACAACAGGAACATCTTGACAATAGTCCTTCAGCATTGTTTCCATTGAAGAAAGCTTCACCATAAAGCAGTTATGCCCAAAACACACCATTTCTCCTTGAATGCTTTCCATAATGCCTTTGGTGTACAGAGGACAACAGTTTCTCAGTGGCCATTTCAAAAGTTTGACCACACAGATACCCATAAGCATTATGATGGCAATTTGACCAGTACATATGGACTAGCATGGATACCCATTTCATTCTTCAACTACTTGAAATATGTAATGGTTAAGTGGGAGATATGACAGGAAGCCTCATCTTAATTAACTCGTACTCTGTTGGTCTCATTTCCTTACAAAGCTGGTATTTCTGTATGATACAAAGGGTCCAGATCATTAGTCTGATAGTAAGTAGAGTTCATCTTGACCTTTGTATCCACTCTATCCTGACCTGTAAATACCCTTGCAGAGTATCAAGTGATGATCATGGATTCCCTTAAAAAGTTTTGTCACATTTTATTAACCACTCCACATCCTGCTATTTCTCCCCGGCTATGTACCACTCAGACAGTTTTCTACAGTTAGTCTTCTTTTTATGGATATAATGTAGAAATGACTTGTGTCACTTTTCCAGGCAGAGACCCTTCTTTGATTATATTGCATATTGTTGCCTGGAACATGTGGACAGCTTTTTCCACTGACATTTGTGTTCATGGATTCTCACCTGTTACAAGATACTGCACTTTTCTTACCATGGCTAAGGTATGACTTATTGCAGGTCTCTTACAGGATGGTCCTTGTTCCCCGAGTTCATCCATATTTCTCTTAATTCCAAAGCCATTAAGTATAAGGGATATCCATGTCTTGGAAATTCTAAATCCCAAATGAACAAGAGACCTTTCTTTGATTATATTGCATATTGTTGCCTGGAACATGTGGACAGCTTTTTCCACTGACATTTGTGTTCGTGGATTCTCACCTGTTACAAGATACTGCACTTTTCTTACCATAGCTAAGGTACGACTTATTGCAGGTCTCTTACAGGATGGTCCTGGTTCCCAGAGTTCATCCACATTTATCTTTGTTCCAAAGCCATTAAGTATAAGGGATATCCATGTCTTAGAAATTCTAAATCCCCAACTGAACACATTTTTGTGATCTGATTGTGTAGATATTTTGCATTGAAAAGGGCTGTTCCATACCCTTCACAAAAGTGATCAATTTTCAGAGGCCTCACACAACCTATGAAATGCCAAACAATATAAAAATGTAGTCCTGATATATATATATATACACAATTCCATCAAAACTACATAGACTTTGGTTGTGACATACCTTGCTGATTTGCATATCCACAATTGGTTTAATATAGTGAACTCAATGCTCTCTACATACTACATACTTGAACATTTTATTGTTAATATTTCTGTTTTCTGAATCATACCAGTCTAATGTGGACTAGCTGAATGTGTCAATAAGTTTTGTTCCAGTGGGTTTAGTTTAACTTCTTATTTGATTGCTCCTCTTTCTGAAGACATGGTCCAATTGAAAATGCCTTATTTTCTTTCATGTTGCTTCTGCTCTAATAGTGAAAAAAGAATAAGAATTTTTTTTTTTGTGGTGCTACATTGGCCATACTGTCCTTTGTAATAATATTTGTCTCGGGCTGTTTCTAATGTTCTCTAA